TTAATCCAGGTTACAATAATCCACACTTTTAATCCAGGTTACAATAATCCACACTTTATTAACTCTTCCCTCAATGACACATTTTGCAAAGTAGCTACATATTGTGCACGTATAAAGATACATTTGTATATATTTGTGTACATTTATTTTTTTAAACTATTCGACTAACTTTTTTATTATTCAATATTTTACTAACAGAATAGTCAAGTAGCATCCTTTTTTTGTGCGAATTGCTATGTCAGTCAAATGTTCAATTTTGGAATAAAGAGGTGGAACTTAAAACATTTGTTTGTTTTTTTTGCCGATTCATCGATGAATTGAAATAAATAATCGGTAGATTAATCAATTATTTAAATAATTGTTAGTTGCAGCCCAAACTTTACAATGTGACAGTCTGGATGGGTAGCTGCACAATCATACGTTAGCAGAGTAAACAGGGGGGGACTCAACACACAGCCCTGAGGAGAGCCAGTGCTGAGGGCTATGGTGGAGGAGGAGAAGTTGTGGATCCTCACAGACTGTGGTCTGTTTGTTAAGAAGTCCAGGACCCAGTTACAAATGGAGGGGCTTAGTCCTAGTGTGGATAGTTTGTCCATCAGGGTTTGGGGGATCATGGTGTTGAAGGCAGATGTGAAGTCCACAAAGATCATACGGACGTAGGAGTCCTGCTGCTCCAGGTGGGTGACAACCACAGAGGAGATGGCATCCTCTGTTGATGCATTTATGATCCATTCTCGGAACAGTCAGCCTCCAGAACCAGTTCCAGCTGAGTAAATACTGAGTTCTCCCAGAACCACAATGAGTGGGTCCAGTAGAACCTGATCAAAGGCAGCTGATCCATCTACAGACAGATCTGATCCAGTTCTGTTTGGTAAACTAAACAGAACCCAATGATTTTAATCCCATGGTTCACTGGCAGTAAACGCATCAGATGTGGACACGGTCCACTCCTGAGGACGTGTCCAACTCTACAGTCAGATCAGGGACTGAGCAGACCGGAGCGGTACTGGTCCATATCTTCACAGCCTCAGAACAAACTCAACCACCCTGCGAGGCCCTCGTTTGGTTAGCCATTAGCCTAGCATAAACAGAACATCACTTTAAAACTGACCAGCTTATCCCTCTAATCAGTCCGAGTGTTTCCAGGAGCTTCTCACGTTTGCTGTTTGTCTTTGTTTGTTTGCAGTGTTTGAGTCCTTCCTCTGAGTGACAACTGAAGCCATTTCACAAACTGGACTATAAACTACAACTGTGGCTGCCTGGGTACATTACATGTTGGACTACAACTATGGCTGCTCGAATATATCACATTGTGGACTCCAACTATGGCTTCCTGGATAAATTACATGTTGGACTACAACTATGGCTGCCTGTGTAGTTCTTCTGGATGGTGCTGATGGGTATGTGAATGTTGGGGCGGTTCCACCTGAACTGTTTGAAATCAAATAAAATGTTTTTGTAAGTATGCTGTTGAAACGAGTTTTCTTTAACGACTGGATCAGAACCTGGGCAGAGCTGTTGGTGTCAGAGTCTCTGTCGGACCCAGAACCAACAGTCTTCATTCATGAACTTGTCTGGACCTCAGTCTTGGATTTAAAGTTTTTATGTTAACCAGCACGCTCCGATTGTAAAATGACTCCTCCCCTCCAGCTCATCGGCCGGCTGATTGAAAAGGAGCGGACCCGCCTCTGACGGAGGCAGAAACTTTTTTATTTACTTGTTTGTTTGTTTGTTTGTTTTTAAAGAGCGACGTCCTCTGCGTGTCTTTGATGTCAGTCTGTAAACATGTTCCCGAAATAACTCCTGCAGGAGGAGGAGGTCCGGACCTCCTCATGAACCTCTTGGACTCCTTCCGTCCGGTCCAGGAGGAGGTCTCGACCGGACCGCCTCCAGCTGAGGAAGAAGTTGGTCTTCAGAAAGTTCGGATGGAGGTTCGGGCCTCTGAAACCTGAGCCCTCCCTCCCTCCTCCTGCAGGAGTTAAGTGGATCCAGATGACTGCTTGTTGTGAACTCTGACAGAACCGGAGGTTCTGTTTGGGCTCTTTTGGACCGGGAGGAGGAGGGGAACCGGACAGATGATGCACACACCGAACTTTTCATCTTTGATCTGAGGAAGAGGAGGCTGATGAAGATGCGGCGGTTCGGCTCGGTTCGGTGAAGGGAAGCTGCTCCTCATGCGCTGCCTCTACCGGACCGCCGGAGTTCTGCTCCGCAGGCGGTTCTGTTCGGGTCCACTGCTGCTTTTCGGACTGTTCTTTCTCTGCTACCAGACCCTGAAGGTGGGCCGGAACCGAAGCGGGTCCGAGGAGGTTCTGACGGAGACCGGGAGACTGATCTCTGCCCTGGAAGCTCTGCAGAACCGAGTGAGTCCTGAGCTGGACCGAACCGGGTCAAAGTGTCTGTAATGTTCGCTCCGCCGGACCTATAACCGGTTCTGTTTGGGTTCTGTTCCTGCGGTTCCGCCAGACGCATTGTTGGCCTATTCTTAGGTTCTGAGCAGTTGACGGACAGCTGACTGGACCTCTGTGGTTCTGGATCAGGCTATTTTAGGTCCTCCTGTCTGCACACGTTGAGTCCAGTTTCTGACAGAGCAGAGCCCGAAACGGGTCAGCCATCATCAGGTTCTGGAGCCGGGAGGTCCAGACACCTCCGTCCGAGTCCAGAACCCCTCCCTGAGGAGCCGAACAGGTTTGGGGTCTCAGTCATTCTCCATGTTTTCTGGATGTTCTGGAGTTCTCCTCGATGGTTTCTGATCTTTCTGGGTCTTAGAACTTTTGAAGTTCTTTAGATTTCTCAGGGTCGTGCAGGTGGTAAGAGGAGAGAGGACAGGTGAGGAGCAGAAATTGTGCTCCTGTTAGTGGAAGAACACGAGGAGGGAAACGTGTCAGGAGACAGAGGAAAGTGAAGAATGTAGGACTGAGGGTTGAAGCTCTAAATGTGGGGACAAGGACAGGCAAAGGTAGAGAGCTGGCTGACATGATGCTGAGAAGGAAGGTAGATGTTTTATGTGTCCAAGAGACCAAGTGGAAGGGCAGCAAGGCTCACAGCATTGGAGCAGGGTTCAAACTGTTTTCCCATGGTGTGGATAGAAAGAGGAACGGAGTAGGGGTGGTCCTGAAGGAGGAGTTGCTGTGGAGACCCCTGGAGGGAAAAGCTGAAAGAAGAAGTTTTATGCAGGACACCCAGCAGAGCCATATCTGGGTGTATTTAGAACAGTTTCTATACTTCAGTCTCGTACTCTGGACTGAAAACGTCTCTGCAGCTCAAACACATCTCTCCACGTTCATTTGGTACATCCAACATGTAGGTGGAACGTTGATACATGAGGCCCCTGGTCTATCAGGATTCTGTGGGATCTTCAAGGCCTCCCAGGTTCTTGAGACATTCAGGATCTTTCAAGTGCAGGTTTTAGGATCGTTCCGATGTTTCTGGATCTTCCACCATCTCTTCGATGTTTGTGAAATTCTTGGGCTTTCCATTCTTGTGTATTTCCAGATGATTTCTGGTCCTTCAGATCCTGCAGGGTGTTCCGGTGTCTCCAGGGTGTTGTTCTGGTCTGACTGAAGGTCTCAGCTGTCGTGTGTCAGTTGTTCGCTTCTCCAGTTTCCAGTCGTTCTGTCCCCGTTTCCTGCTGAGAGTCCTGGGGTTTAAATTTAGATCCAGATCTCAAACTGGGGACCAGTTCAAAGTCCCAGATTACTGACTGAGAGTCCCAGCAGAGCAGAAGTCATCAGGGTGATCATATAAGGCCCATAAAGGACCTTCAGACCCCTGTATGGTCTGGAATCCATCCCATAATGCTTGTTTAGGTCCAGTTACATTCAGTTACGTTATTTCTCCAACAAACTAAAGATCTGAGTGAACAGAGAGAAACATGTTGCTCCTGCTGCACCGGATCCAACTGATGTCTGTCAGAGAAGAGTCATCAGGGTGTTCCGGTCAGGTGACCCGTGACGTTCCAGTCAGGTGATCCGTGACGTTCCAGTCAGGTGACCCGTGACGTTCGGT